AAAAGCTGGAAGTGGCACTGTGGCTCAAGTGGTAGAGCACTAGCCTTGAGCTGAAGAGCTGAGGGACAGCGCCCAGGCCCAGAGTTCAAGCCCCACAACTGGACCCCCCCAAAAAAAAGCAAACAAACAAGAATAAGGAGCATGGCTTAAGTTGATGCTGAAATCCATAGATCCTCAGTACTGAGAACTGTACCAGGATGAAGGCAGGGGAACCATCTACACTTCAATTACTTGGTCCAAATCTCCCACCTATAGCCCCCAGAACTGTTGGACTCCTCTAAGGGTACCAACCTTGACCTAGATAGCCTAGGGGCTATCTAGGGGCTATGATACAAAAACAGCCAAGGTCTTGAGATCCCTGTAGAATCTACAAAAAAAAAAAAAAAAAGACCTCTGTTCCGTATTAAGAATCTGACTGTCTTGGTGTCTCACACCTATAATCCTAGCTACTCAGGAGGCTGAGATCTGAGAATCACAGTTCAAAACCAGCCTGGGCAGGAAAGCCCATGAGACTTTTATCTCCAATAAACCACCAGAAAACCGGAAGTGGCGCTGTGGCTCAAGTGATAAGAGTGCTAGCCTTGAGCTGAAGAGCTGAGGCAAAGCACCAAGGCCCAGTGTTCAAGCCCCATGACCAAAAAAAAAAAAAAAGGATCTGACTGGGGTCAGGTACACACTGGTAGGTAGACAGGCTCCCAGTTCTCAGCTCCTTGATAATTTTAGGGTGACAATCTGGAGACTCCAAAGTAGTACTTGGATGACTGATCAGAAGAGGAATGGTTTAGGAGACTAATGATATTCAGAAGCCTTAGATTTGATAACCCAGAGGGCTAAAGGAAGGTGTAGGCAAGGTTTTGGTGTTCACTTTGATAGTCATGAAAGATCCTGCTCCACACAGCAAACTGCTATATCCCAGCAAGCAATGAGGATAACACTTCAAACTCTTTCCTCTTCTCTAGAAATTAAACTATGGATGGATGGAGGCATGCCTCAGTGGTAGAACACCAGCATAGCAAGCTCAAAGTTCTAAGTTCAATCCCCAGTATTTGCACCCCTCCACCTTCAGCCCAAAGAACTAGGGAAAGTTAAGTATGGTGATGCACACCTTTTTTTTTTTTTTTGGGTCTGGTCATGGGGCCTGAACTCTGGGCATGGGCACTGTCCCTCAGCTCTTCAGCTCAAGGCTAGCACTCTACCACCTGAGCCACAGCACCAGTTCTGGCTTTTTTTCTTTTTGCTTATGTGGTGCTGAGGAATCGAACTCAGGGCCTCATGCATGCAAAACAAGCGCTCTACCACTGAGTCACCTTCCCAGCCCCTGATGCACACCTTTAATCCCAGTGCTTAAGAGGATGAGGCAGGAAGATCAATTTAAGGACAGTTTTTTTGGGTTTTTTTGTTTTTGTTTTTTTGGTGGGTCATGGGGTCTGAACTCTGGGCCTGGGCACTGTCCCTCAGCTCTTCAGCTCAAGGCTAGTGCTGTAGCTCTTAAGCCAAATACTACTTCCAGCTTTTTTCTGCTTATGTATTGCTGAGGAATGGAACCCAGGGCCTCACGCATGCAGGGCAAGCACTTTACCACTGAGCCACCTTCCCAGCCCATCAAGGACAATTTTGGCATATAGCAAGCCACTGTCAGAAACACCAAAATCGATCAATCAATAATAAACTACAGAGAACTTCCTTGAGGCAATTGTGGCATTTTTTCTTACTGGGGAAAAAAAAAATAGGGTCAAATGGCCTATAAACACAATCAAGCATGTTTCAACATCATTTGCCAGATGGTACACACACATACACACAGCCTCCCATAGCCTTCCCTTCAAAGCTTTCATAGCCCTCCCTGACCCAGCAGGCACAAGGCAGAAGGCATAGGAGCTGGCCCACCTTTACAGTGTCGGTGTAGGACGTCCAGGGCTGCGATGAGGAACTCATGTGCATCCTGCTGCTCATAACCCGCCAGGTGCCGTGCATGGGTCCACACCAAGTGCAGCAGCTTATATGGAATGTGAGGGGACCGGTGCCCCGAGTAAAACTGTTCAGAGAAAAGGAAAAGGGAAAAACTAGTGGGACCATGAGCTAAACTGGAGCACACACACAAAAAACTATCAGCTGCCAAGAGTGGGTAATGGCTAGTTTGACAAAATGGATTCTCTATTTTCTTTCTTCTCCTTTTTTTTTTGATATTGGTATGAAGCTTGAACTCAGAGCACTAAGCTCTCAGCTTTTTTGCTAAAAAGATTGGTACTTTACCACTTGAGCCACATTTCTACTTTTTTGCTGGTTAATTGGAGATAAGAGTAAGATTTTCCTGCTCCAAGCTGGTTCCAAACAGTGATTCTCAGGTCTCAGCCTCCTGAGTAATTAGGAGCTGCAAGCCACAGGCTTCTTTCTTCTTTTGTAAACTGTATTTTCATCTGTATTTACTGGACTTGGAGTTTATATGGGAATTTCTCCCTTTCCGTCATTTAGTTTCCACAGATAAGCCCCATAATTATGACTTGCTCATATAAGAAGCAACTCAAAGTAACTCAACATTGGCTTAGGGATTATACCAGCCAAACTCTCTCAGGCCATGTCTAGCAGCACATTTGTACTGGGATCAGCTACAGGAGCACTACTAAACATTGTCCCTGGACCACATAGGACACAGCTGGCTCCAGGGCTCACAGCCAAAGCAAGGCGATCAAGCTTGTCCATTAACTGCGTTGATACCAGACCTAGTCAATCATCTCCAGTCCCATTTCCCACCCAGGTAAGAACTCAGAAGGCTCCTGCCTGTTCAGCCACAAAAGCAGGAGCATATAAGATGGGTGGATATGAACAGTTCAAATTTTACTATTTGAGCCAGCATTAACTTTCCTTGGAACAGACACACCAGATGCCTTTCTTAAAAACAGACCCTAAACTCTAAATGAAAAATCCTAAAAGTAATCACAGAAACAAAATGATATGACAACCAATACACTGTATTATTAATATAGCTAGAAATGGAGCTCAGTGATAAACAGTACTTAGCATGCTGGCCCTGGATTCAAGCAACAGTTCACAAATCAAATCATGAAATTAGCTTTGTTCTTTCAGGTTCCAAAAGGGTTTATACACTTGGGACTAGTTCACTTGGCAGCCAGCTTCTTACAAAACAGCATGAGAAGCCGGGCGCTGGTGGCTCACGCCTGTAATCCTAACTACTCAGGAGGCTGAGATCTGAGGATCGCAGTTCAAAGCCAGCCCGGGCAGGAGAGACCGTGAGACTCCTATCTCCAATAAACCA